GTCTAGGCTAGTGGAGAGGTAGAGGCAAGAGGATCAAGAGACCCATTTTAATTAAAAACAAAACAAAATAAAAACCCAAAAGGGCAGGGTCTGGTTCTAGTGGTAAAATACTTGCTTAGTCAAAACCCTCGGTGTCACAGACATACACCCAAAAGTTATTGGGGGGTGCACAGAAATGGAGGGATAAAGGGTGAATAAAGGCAGCCATGGTACCCACTGGACACTGTATTGAACATCGACTATACAACTTGTAGGTGGGGTGGGAAAGAAAAGCTGGGAGAGAGAGAGGGAAGGAAGGGCTGATGTTATCCAAAAAGAAATGTACTCTTTGCCTAACGTGTGTAACTGTAACCCCTCTGTACATTGCCACTATAATAACAATTAAAAACAAAAACAAAAAAAACTCTGCAGTGAAGAAAAAAATAAAGTAATGGCATGTCTCTTCTAAATTCCCTTATGAAAATGTTGCACGTGGTGGGTGGCACTAGCTCACACCTGTAACCTTAGCTACTCAGGAGGCTGAGGTCTGAGGATCCCAATTCAAAGCCAGCCTGAGCTAAGCCCATGAAAGTTTTCTTTTCTTTTTTGTTTTTGTTGGTCATGGGGCTTGAACTCAGGGCCTGGGCGCTGTCCCTCAGCTCTGCAGACCCAGGTGAGCACTTTACCACTGGAGCCACAGTGCTACATTCAGTTTTCTGGTGGTTTTATTGGAGATAAGAGACAGGCTGGCTTTGAACCATGATCCTCAGATCTCAGCCTCCTGAGTAGATAGCATGACAGGCGTGAGCCACCGGCGCCCAGCACTGAAATTCTTTATCTCCAATAAACTACTCAGAAAAAGCCGGAAGTGGTGCCGCGGCTCAAGTGGTAGAATGCTAGCCTGGAGCACAAAGAGGCTCAGTGACAGCGCCCAGGCCCAGAGTTCAAGCCCCAGGTCTGGCAAAAAACAAAAAACGCTGAGTGCTCACTGTTGCTCTTTTTACCTGTTATGCCCTAGAAGAAGGAGCTTCCACGTATAAGGGGCTGTGTCAAGGCCTGCCGACAGGGATGGAGCCCCCGAGTGAGCATGAAGGCAGGGGTGCTCGTCTGACCTTCAGATCAGCCCATGACCCTGACAACCACCTCACGCAGCTGTGCGGAGCGGGGCCTGGCCGGGCCTGATCCCTCACTCAGGAGTGGAGGGGTCCTAGGCTCTGGGCCTGCGGCTTGAAGCTTCTTAGTTTGGGGCTTGTCACACTGCCAGATAACGTCTTTTGAGTAGCTGAAGGAAAATTAGCCTCTGAGGCACAATCCAGAAGACATGCACTGATAATAATGATTACTTATTGGTATAATAATTACAATTAATAAGTAATTAAAATAGTTAAGTGTCAGGCCCTGTATTATTATTGTTATTATTTATTATAGGTCAGGGCCTACCACAGCACAGAGACTTGACAATCTGACTTAGGCAGGAATCTTCTACCAAAGCCAGAAGGTAAGTTAATGAGGAACAAGAAGCCGCAGAAACCTTGAGTCAGGCCACTCCAGGCACCCCCGTGCCCACGGGCCACGTCCACTGCCGTCCCCAGGGAGGACAGAGCCAGCCTGTGTCTGAGAGACCCCACGCATAGTCTTTGTGGAGTCCCACCCTGCCATAACGATGCAGCCTCCGGGAACTTGGGCCGCCAGGAAGCTGGGCCTCCAGGGCAGACTACTAGACTGACCGGCAAGCTCATCAGCCAATGGGGCTTGATTCTTCCCAGGATCGAAAGAATTCCATCTCCCACTTTCTCTTCAAACCACATAATAAACACTGTTCAAGAGTTTCAGGAATCTTGTTTACTTTCATTTGAACTCATTTCCTCTTGTGCTGATACAGAAGAAGAAAAAAATGCCTGGATAGAAACCTCCTTTTTTCCTTCACTAAAAAGCAATCTCTTCACTTCATGAGGATCTCAGAACCATATGTTATTTAACTGTTAATTAATTAGTTAATTAAACAAAAACATGTTTAAGATACTCCTGGCCGCTGAGCACTGGTGGCTCACACTTGTAATCCTCCCTACTCAGGAGGCAGAGGTCTGAGGATCGCAGTTCAAAGCCAGCTCAGGCAAAATGTCCTCAGACTCTTAACTCCAATTAAGCACCAAAAAAGGTGCTGGAAATGGAGGTGTGACTCAAGTGGTAGAGTGCTAGGCTTGAACAAAAGAGCTCATGGATAGTGCCCAGACCTGAGTTTAAGCCCCAGGACCTATGCATGCACACATGTATGTGCAAGGTCACAATTTTACACACACACACACACACACACACACACACACACACACACACGAGATACTGCTGATCAAGTACTATAAGAAGAGGCTGTGTCAGGTAGAAGGTGGTAAGAACGCTGCGTCCGCTCTCTGGCCCGGGTTCTGTCTCCGTGTGCAGCAGTCCCGTTTTGTGTGTGTGCCTGCCTTTGCTGGCTCTGACCTCTGTGCCTCCCCGTGCTCCTCCCAGCTCCTCCCCTTCGTTACTTCCTGCAGCCTCCTCCCTACCTAAGGAAGGGAGGACAGGAGTCAAGAGGGCACGGGGGTCCCCATCCCACCACGGCCGGCCTGCCATTTCAGGTACCGAAAGGTCTCCAAGCTGGGTCTCCTGCCTTTACTCCCAGAACCTTCCAGAGAGAGAGACAGACAGACAGACAGAGAGAGAGACAGGGAGAGAGAGCGCGCACAAGCGCGGGAGTCTGACTCGCAAGCCACTGCCCATGCGCAAGCCACTACACCAATGGAGTTTACTCATAAAAAGTGAATGACAGTGAGCAAGGACTAGACACAGTACAAGAAGGGGGCGTGGCCCACGCCAGGAGCTCGGGTCACACAGCCTCGGGGCGGGGCTGAAAGCTGAAGGCAGCTGGGGGCGGAAGACCACATCCACCACAGGCTCCCAGGCCTGGAAGAGGTAAACAGATGACTGGCGTCTGTGTTTCTGCAGGAAAGTCAGCAAAGCTGCCCAGGGGCCTGGGAGAGCTGGCCTCCTGGCCAGTGGAGAGTCAGGGCCCAGGAGAGCCGTGCTGGCCTGGCAGAGGTCAGTCCTGACAGCCAGCTGGTATTCTTCCTCCAGAAACAAAGGGGCCTGGGCCAGCCATGTGGCTGACAAACTGGGTCACGGATGAGGTCATTTTAAGGAGTGGTCTCCCCTCAGAGAGGTCACAAACTACAGTTCTAGAAACCTCTGTCTAGGACTCCAAGTCAGAAGAAGGCAGGGGCTCCACCTAGCCTTGGAGTCAGTTACCCACAATCAATCGTGTTACGTGATAACTTGGAGAGCTGTAGAAATAAACACCGCATAAAATGTAAACAACTTTTAGCACGGTGTGTCATTATGAAAATGGTCCTACTTTATTATTCGTGATTATTACTCTCTTACGATGCTAATTCTTTGGTGAGACTTGTCACAGGTGTGAGCGTACAGCACGGCAATACAGCCGGAGCTGGGCACTCCCGTGGCTTCAGGCATGTTTGGATTGTCTTGGGCCATAGACCCCCAGAGGTTAGGTACAGGGAGACTATGGGCCTGAAACACACACTCTCACACACACCTTACAAACACAAGTACAAACATTCCACAGAAGTCAAGAAGAAACTGTCCGCAGGACAGTTGCCTGCCCAGACAGACGCTCCTCCCGTCCTATCTGGCTGGGTCTCTATCTTCTATAATTACAAACACTATGATTTTTGTTTTGATGGACTACCAAAATCAAATATGAGGTGGCTGCGACCCTTGGCAGTATGTGGGGTGCATAACTAAGTCCTAGAAGGGCCAGGAACTTTCCCTCCCTGCACCAACAGCAAGCCGTGGCTCCCCTTGCAAGGCCGGTGTGGCCTCAGCGATCTGCGCTCACTGCTCTGTGCAGCTCAGGCGTGACGCCTCCACGTATTCACGATGACAAACTGGAGACCCCGCTCCAGGGCGGGCGAGCCCGTGCAGAACCAACTGGAGAGAAACAGCACTTGATGGTAATTCTGAGTTCTGCTATTCAGGCTTTCTCACTCAGGGCTGCCACGTGCCACAGCCTACAGCGATCCCAGCCCCGAGCGGGCATGCTGCCTGCTTAGCCAAGCAAGAGGTGGTACAGAGCAATTAAAAATATAGCCTGAGTCAAACTAGACCCAAACCCAGGCCATTGCAGCTATGTGACCCTTAGCAGAATGCTCCAAGTCTATAACTAGGAGGATGGGTGCTGGGGCTGGGGCTGGTGGCTCCCACCTGTAACCCTCGATACTCAGGAGGCTGAGATCTGAGGATTGCAGTTTGAAGCCAGCTTGGGCAGGAAAGTCTGTGAGACTCTAATCTACAATTAAAAAAGAAAAAAAGAAAAGAAAGTAGCTGATGGTGGAGCTGTAGCTCAAGTGGTAGAGTCCAAGTTTGGGCACAAAAGCTCAGGGACATTGCCCAGGCTCTGAGCTGAAGTTCTAGGACCAGTACAAAAAAGGAAGGAAGGAAGGAAGGAAGGAAGGAAGGAAGGAAAAGAAGAGAAAAGAAAAGAAGATGAGCTAGCATCAGTGGCTCATACCTATCATTCTAACTAGTCAGGAGGCTGAGATCTGAGGATCATAGTTCAAAGTCAGCCCTGGCAGTAAGACTCTCATCTCCAGTTAACCAACAAAAAAAGCTGGACCCATCAGCTGTGATGTTCCTTGTAGGAACATGAGGTCATAAGTTCCAGCCCCAAGCACTACATAAAATAAGGCGAGGGTACAGCATATACCCCATTCACGGGTGTTTCAGTGAGGGTTGAATAAACTAACCACAAAGGGTGAATAAGCTGTCAAGTGCCTGCTATGTACTCGTGGCTGGGTACTTCTTGTTACTGCTCACTCAATGTCAGCCTTGGTTTCAAGCAGTTACTATATACATTGCACTGTGCAAAAGCTGCCGATTCTCCTGCAGATCTGAACGGGAGCAAGCGGCCAAGTTATGGTGTGATGCGGAGACAGCGGTGCGAGCTGTGTTGCTCATCTCCCACTTACCCCTAAGACCCCAAAGCGCTCAGCCAGACTCCAGCCGCACAGAAAGTCAATTTCAAACTTGTGGTTGAGGACCACGATGGCGTTTTCCTTCCCGAACTTGGAGTAGGCCCTCAGGTTGGTGTAGAGGGTGCATTCCGTGCCCGACCACCACTCCAGCAGCATCACCAGCTCTGGAACAAACGACAGGACAGACAGACGTTTACTTCACCGGTCCCGGGACGCCAGGCCCTGCCCTGAGCAAGACTCCCCTCCCCACCGAGAGAGAAATTGACTTTTAGGAATAAAGTTCTACACCGTTTTAGCCTACATCCTGGTTGTCAAGGTGGATTAGAGGCAGAAAGAACAATTAGAAAAAGTTCACTATAGTCTCCAGAGAAGCAGAAGAAGCTTTAAGACAGCGATGGTTTACGTCCCTTGATGAAGTGCTTCGGGGAAAAATAAATCAGAAAGTCTTGAGTGGACAAGGGTGCCAGTTGCTGTACAGTTCGACATCCTGGGTAATGACTACCTGGTATGCTTACAAACGCCATCACATAGCAGTCAGTACCACCTTCGCTCTCCCTTTGATGACAGCCAGGGCACTGGGCACAAGGAAGGACTAGACAGCAGGAGCTCAACCACCAGGACAAGGTGAACGCAGTTGCCACCCTGCCAGCTTTCGTTGGATTAGAAAGGTAAGACTTCCATGTTCAGGCAATCATGACCAATTTGAACATAGTCCCTGTGTGTCTCTGGTCAGGGCTGCTGAGAGCCAATCTGCTAGTCTCAGAAAAAGCCCACCCACCCTGGGGGAGGGCCAAGGATCTAGAAATAGAGCTAAAGGTTGGGGAACGATAAACATCCTAAATGAACGTTTAAAGCCGAACGTGTTGGCAGTGGACGGGCACGTGTGAGGGTCCCCTGAGGTGTGCCCCTTTTTCTCACTGGTCAGAGATACACATAGTTGACAGGGGGCTCTCCACGCCTCATCTCACCCCTCATGCACACAGAGGCGAGTCAGTGTGACCTATGACCTTTCTTCTCCAGGCTTGAGGCTGGAGAACTAGTGGGAGACACTTTAAAAGGCCTTGTTTTGCTAGGAACTGGTGGTTCACACCTGTAATCCTGGCTACTCAGCAGAGGCTGAGATTTGAAGGTCAAAGTTTAAAGCCAGCCCAGGTAAAAAGTCCTCGAGACTCTTACCTCCAATTAACCACCAAAGTACACAAGTGTTGCTCAAGTATTCGCACGCCAGCCTTGAGTGGAAAAAGACAAGGGAGAGCATGAGGCCCAGCACAGGCATGAAAATAAACAAACAAGTACAAACAAAAACAAAAGGTCTAGTTTTCCAGCAGTGTCACACAGGTGCTGCTGTGCCCTGGCCTGTAGAGTGGACATTCCTCATGGGGTCTTACAGAAATTAAAACTTCCCTAAGAGCTGCACAGCCCACAGTAAACTCCCCAAATCAAAACCATTGGGATCACTACAAACCAACAAAACACTCTCAAAGAGGGTGATAAAGAGTGTCTACCTGGAGACAATACCAGCCCCAGTCAGCTGTCCCTCTGGGCATCACCATTGGTGGAAGCCCCAGTCAGCTGTCCCACTGGGCATCGCCATTGGTGGAAGCCCCAGTCAGCTGTCCCACTGGGCATCGCCATTGGTGGAAGCCCCAGTCAGCTGTCCCACTGGGCATCATTATTGGTGGAAGCAAGAAGTAGCAGGTGCAGGAGCAAAGTGTTTGGAGGGCTGGGGCATGGTGTGAGCTCAGCGGGTTGGCCTGGCCATTGGACTTGCATGGATTTCTTCCAAGGAACAGGACAAGGAGGCCCCATCTGCTCCATGATGGAGCAAGAACTTCATGGCTGGGTTTGCCCAACCCTGGCTGGTTCCAGCACCCAGCAAGCAGTGGGCACAATGATGCCTTCTCCCAACCACGAGAAACCCCGGCACACACAAGAACTCTGTGGGGTGCTGGAGATGAAAGCCAAGTGCCCAGAACTCCCCCTCCTCTGCTGAGGCAGGTCTGCCCAGGGAGGTCAGCCCTATGCCCCTATCAGGGGGAGGTCAGCCCCATGCCCCTATCAGGGGGAGGTCAGCCCTATGCCCCTATCAGGGGGAGGTCAGCCCCATGCCCCTATCAGGGGGAGGTCAGCCCCATGTCCCTATCAGTGGGGCAGGAAAGGAGGGAGGGCATGAATGCTACGCTCAGGGAGGGGGAGTGAGACTGGGAGCAGATTTCTCAATGTGCCTTGTCTGAGAAGTAAGGAGAGAGAGGTGGTATACATACTAAATTATGACTGCATGCTAGGCGCCGGCAGGAGGTCAGCAGCAGAGGTGTCCTCGGTGAATAGCCAACCTCTTACTACCATTATATAGTTGATAATCTTTTCACACACAAGCTTCTGTGGGCAGAGGCCCGTGTGCTGAGACCCACGGGAAAGCACTGTAAGACTGCCAGACCAGACTGTGATTAATGACTTCATTCTAAAGGCACTGGGAAGTCGCTGGATGTTTTCAAATAGTTGCACATTAGCATCCAATTTGCATTTTGCAATATCACATTGACTGAAGCAGGGGCTATATGGAAACAAGGAAGCAGAGCTGGGAGGCCTGAAAAGGTGTCTGAGGGGTCGGGGTGGTAGGAGGTGGGGCAGGGCAGGCCGCAAGCAGGAAGGAGAACCACATTCTTCTCACCAACAGGCCGTCAACCTACAACTAAAGTCTCACAGACCAGAGACTTTTGCTTCTCCTCTTTCCTTCTTTTTTTAACAAAAGATTTCAGATTTCTTTTAAATGCACAATAAATACAACTATATAGCTTCATTGTAAAAAGCATTCAGATGTTCACAAAGTATAGAAAGGAAAAGGTGAAATTCTCCAGGATGGTTTTAGAATGTAGCAGCCAGGATAGCTTGAACTACATTTCCCAGACTCCCTTTCTTGCATGTTGCTGGGTAAGGGCACCACAAGGGACAGTCTTAGGAAGTTTGGAAGGTGGGAGGGAAACAGCCCAGTTTTGCAGTTCCTGCTTGCTGATGCTGGATCTGCTGATTCACTACTTTGGCTTGAGGCACCTCCTGGGCCTGCACCTGTTTCTTCTCCAGTTCCATCTCAGTTTCCCGGCTCCGGCAGGACACCCACCCCAACAATGTGACATTCCCACCAATGCTGGAGGCAAGCAGAATTGATACTTGTTCCAGCCCCATGTCATAGGCATGTGCTTAGCAGCTCCAGCCTCTTGCTTTCCCCCACTTCATATCCCCCACCTCTGAACGTCTGCCCTGTGGACTGAAGGCTTCAGTGTCAAATGCACAAATAACACCTATGTGCCGGGTCAGTTCCCTGTGACTGATTCCTTCATGTCTGCACACAGCTCTCCCAGGGATTCAGCTCCTGTGGAAGCACCTGACTAAGGCCCTCCTCTGTCTCTGCCCCCAACCTGCCCCCTTTCAGGACTATCCACTGTGAACAGGATGTGGACATAAGTCTTCTAGCCCTTTTTCTAGGCTATCACACACAGGCAAACACATGTGTACACACATTTCCCTCGCAAATATACACCTATTTTGATGTCTGTAAACATATACATATTTGTTTCCACCAAACAGTATATTTTAGGCCATCTCTTTTTAATACATACGTAGTGGTATTAGCAAATTGAGCATTGGCTGGGTACTGAGTGCTTTGTACTGATATTGTATTATACATGCAACACAAGGTGCTATTTAATCCTTTAGTCAAGAGGAAGAAATGGAGCCAGAGGGGAATCTCTCATTTTGTGTTCAGTATATGAAATTACCATTGTAGGTCAAAAGTAGCCAGAGTGGCAATTTCATAAAGTACATCCCAAGAGCTGGCTAGCAGCAGAAGCTATGGGTGTCACACGATGAACTTCACCATTTTCCTATGGATTAGCATTTCCCTTGCTTTTGCTGTCAAAAAGAATACTGTAATAATATTTGGAGCTGTATGTCTTACAAAGCACTTATACAAAGCAGCAGTGGGACTCACTAGACACTACGTTGAAAACAAACTATACAACTTGTAGGTGGGGATGGAGAGGGAAATTGGGAGAGAGAAAGGAAAGGGGTGACATTGTCCAAAAAGAAATGTACTCAGTACCTGACGTACACAACTTTAACGCCTCTGTGCATCACCCTTCTAATAGCAATAAAAACATTTAAAAATACTTGTAAAAAAAACCCTCCTCAACATAAACCTCAAAGTAGAGTCATGGACTAAAGAGCACACCTATTTTACACTTTATGAATAGGCTGAACTTTCTTCCAGAAAGTTCTCCCCAATCTGTGCCTGAGTCTACAGTTTGACAGAGGCCCCTTCCCTGTTGCTTGGGCTTGCACTCCAAGATCTTGGAGGGATTGTGGGGAATATGGAGGAACTTTTAGCCCTCGCTTGGTGACATCTTTGAGGTCACACCCAGGTGATCTCTGGGGCTCCCATATCCTGGTCCCATCACCCAGCTTCTGGTAGCTTCTGAAAAAGCTTTGCCCCTGGTTGCACGACCTGCCAACTGAAGTCTTTGTGGAGCGTTCCCGGGAAACACCGTGCGTGCTTTCCAAATGTCTCCAGGAGCTCAGCTGCCTTTCTACTCGTGTGTGGCTCCAGTGAGGCTGTGTCCCCCAGCCCGCTGTCTGGGGTGGGGTTGGCTCTGCCAATGCCGACCCGTGTTTCAGTCTATCCCACCCCCATGGCGGCAGCAGATCTGGGAGCTGCTCTGACTTGTTCTCTTCCACAAGACTGACTCACTCGCTGTCAGAAAACACAGTTTTGGAATCTCCAACTTAACGTAGAAAGAAGTTACAAAAAGGTGTGTGGACGATCAATCCTGACCAAGTATGTTAGGCAACTCTTAGATGCTTTCTTACACACACACACACACACACACACACACACACACACACACACACACACACACACACAGAGCCCCAAGGCAGGAAAAAAAATCAAACTAAAGATTAAAAGCTTATTTTGGTTTGTAGTCTCCAGGATTTCCAGAGTTGGCTGCTTTGGTGCCCATGGGACTATGATAAGGCAGAACTGCATGGCAGAGAAAACCTGGAGGAAGAAGGGGATGAGGAAGAGGAGGACAAAGAGGAGAAGGAATGAGGGGTTGGGACTAGGGTCCCAATATCCTCTTCAAGGGGACACCCCCCAAGACAGAACTCC